CATTCTGGATGATTATAGTACCTGTCTTCACCCAGATAACTTTCTCCTCCACTACGAGCTTAAACACTACATTCTACTGATGCTTTTTAATTAAGTCAATCTATATGTTTTTATGTCTAAAAATGCAAACATGAAATTTTAACTGCTGATCTTTTTGCTGGACACAGAAATGCGACTTGGATGGCACAGAATTATATTTATTCACCCAAATCCAGCAAGAAAACTAGTAAATTCCTTCAGACCAACCTTCTGCTTGCTCACGTGGGTCTGAGATTCACAGGAACCATGATCCTGGCAACAAAAAAGCCATCTCTAAGACCTCTTTTCTGCAGTGCCAGCCATGGAAATGCAGAGTGCAGGATGAAGGTGTTTGGGGAATTAAAGTTTGAATGAGTTCATCTGTAGCAGGGAAGGTGATATTTTTCCTTTCATTGTTGGAAGTGTTATTAAAGAGAGAACTAATGTTGGTCAAACTGTTTTTAAGGCTCTACTGTTTTCTCTCTCTGCGTGTCAGCTTATATGCATTCCTCAGCAGTAACAAAATAGGCTCAACAGCAAAATCGAGCATAGGACCTAMGGGGACGTGGGGGAGGGAAAACAATAAAGCAAAAGCTTTGTGGCTCTCCCTACTACCAAGGTCTTCATTAGCACATCATAGATATYCTTCATACTTGTGCAAGGTTGCATGACCTCATATTCTCACTCGCAAACATAAGGGTGTTGAAATAAGTTTTATTTCAGGTAAGACTAGCAATATTTGATCTCAAGCAACAGGAGGCTACTCCCAGCAAATGTAGCAAATTTGCAGCAGGAGTAGCAAGAATTTTAAGGCAAGGTTTCAGAGCAGTCATGGTCTACTCGGATCTCAGAGTACTTGTTGCCTTTATTTAAAGAAAAAAAACCAAAAAACATATATATCTTCTGGGGTCACTACCATATGTCAGAAAAACCATCAAAGCAGCCTAATCCAGCAGTGTGTTTTTATCCTTTTACTGATAGTAAGCTGAAAGGTTTATAAAACATCAGTACAATTCCAGAATGCCAGCTGTTCATAAACCTGGTTTATGGATAACTCATTTTGCATCTCCAGGGGGCTGTGATTCCATTTTTCTTTTATGAACCYGACATACAGGATACAAAAGAGGCTTGTTCCYATATATATACACACATATATATGTTCCCATATATATACATATACATACAGAACTTTCTTTTCCATTCATCCCCCYCTTCCAACTCAAGTGATTACGCTCTCTCTTTTTCATTCCATACCATTTTTCATTTTCCCTACTCTTCGACAACATAATTAGATTACACTCTAATTACCGAAACCTGGCTAAGTCAGGATGTGCCTGTCTGCTGAGGCAAGCAATGAATTTTCCACAGGGCCACCTGAAATTATTCTCCCACTTCAACAACGTACCAGCAGTGGTTGAGACGAGACCAATCACTGAGTTTCCCATGGGAACCTGCCCTGCAGTTACACTTTCAGCAGAAACATATTCCTCCCCTCCACCATTTACCTGCCGTGATGTTAATGGAGACGCACCAATATAGGTCATATTGCCTGCAAAATGTAGGCAACAGGAACAAGTGATGAAATGAGTGAAGATCCAGCCTCCTGGGACTGAGTCTCCAATGCTCTTATTTCATTGTGTAAGCCACATGTGCTTCAATGTCTTTGCACAGAATAGCAGCTACAGCATCACCTACCTCCTTCACTGGCTGCTTAACTACAGGCCCCGTGGCCACTGACACTTTTGGCAGAAGAGCAGCATGCGGGAGCGCGTTATTATGTCGCTGGAATGGTAAATGCAAGCAGTTAAGACAGCCAAGTATGTCCTGACAAGATCACTTTTGTTTAGCAAACAGGTAAACTCCCTCACCTGCAGAAACACGCTGCAGGTTGGCACAAGCTTTAGAGGCTGCAGCTTGGCGCGAGCTTGAGAGGCAAGCTCAAATGACTAACGAGCCACCAAGCAGGTACCCCAGGCTGAGCAGGCACCATCCAACGTGGCACTGCCTCTCCTGCCTCCCAGCAGCTCTGTGGCAGCAGCCCACTGCTTTACTGACTCCCTTTCCTTATTATTTCCTTATAGATCCGTCCCAGTGCTCCCTAATGTGCACCAGGCAGGTATGGCACTTGGATGTCCCCTCACCCTCACGGTGCTGCCGCCTGGCTGCCGACCCCTTGACCGACTTGCRTTGCCCACAACGTGGGGAGTGCTCCTCCACCAAGTGGCACCCAGACACTCTCCCTYAGCACCGGAGCTGGAGATCGGTCTCCTCACCAGTGGGAAACTCATGGACYCAGTGGGTCCTTCAGCTTCCCAGTCGTTTCTTGCGTTTTCACATCAGGCCACTGGCCAAAAATACCCTGTATCATCAAAATCCCTTTGGGATGGTGCAGCCACTGCTTCCTTCCTCCTAATCGCAGTGCAATTAGTCCTCAATCTCCAGTCTTCAATCACAGCAGCAACTGGAAAGCTCAAATCTGTGATTCCCTGTGAATAGTCTGGATGTAAAATTGGTTTTTGTCTGCGGTATCAGCCAAGGGTCTTGCACTACATCCATCACCATGTTGCCTATCCCCCATGCATCACCTTCTCCTTTGCTTCATAGCCAGCACGTATAGATACCTAGTGCATATTTTAGGGCCTATGTACAAACCTCAGACATTTCAGAAGGCCAATGCCTGGGGGAATGTCTGGCATGCATTTCTCAACAGGAATCTGYGATGCACTTGTTACTTACGTAATTTTACTGCTTGCTATACAGGCTCCAGTGGCCTATGARCAGGGTGCAAAGAAAGGGTAAAAATGGGGAACACACAAGCACAGAGATGAGGTGGTGGGACCAGGGAATACTGGTTTCCAGCGCCAGAGCCAGCTGCAGRCTCCTGGCTTGCACTGCAGGCTCTGCCAGTGCTCCAGGTGCCACAGGGAGTGCACAGGAGGCTTTACAGAACAGCTCCATAATCCTGCAATTACTGCAGCAACCGCAAACTGCCCAGTGCAACTGCAACATGGACCATCTAGAAGTGCTCAGCTCCGGGTGACTCAAAGCCCTCACTTGACTTTGGAGGCACCAACGGTACCATAGGCACAAACTGTGCAATCTATTACGTTTCAGAAATGTTTGCAATCAGTTAAACGGCCTCATTCATAATTGAAACACCTCAGAGCAAAAGACAGCACTATCAGTTAGAGTGAAAGGGGGATGCTGAGTGAGAGAAGAGCAAAACCTTTCACCAGCRAATGCCCCTTGCACAGGCAGAGGCACTGCCAGCAGGGGCAGGAAGCAGCTCCAATACTCCATGYACTAACAAGCTCACTGGAAGGCTTGGATAAAATTTACTCTTCTTTTTAACTTGTGGTGGCCTTTTCTGGTAAACTGAGGAAGGCTCAGAGAAGAGTTACAGGATGGATCAGAGGGATGCAAAAACTTGGACAACACTGAAAATGCCAGCAACTGTTATCAGTTTTCTACATCAAATAGCAAGTTAAGAGAGGGCCCAATCACTGTGGGGAAAAGAGAGTTTTGAAAATGTGCTCATCACTGTGGCATTTAAAGGTATAAACAAACTGACTGGAAGTTGATGCTGAATAAAATCAGACTGAAAATAAAAAAGTACATTCTCATCAGCCAGGGTAATTAACCTTTAGGACAGTTTACTGCCAGTTGTGCTGTTTTACTCATTCCTGGAAACATTAAAAAAAAATGGATGGAAATTTTCCTAAATGATTTCCTAAATGTACAGCAGAGCAAACTGAACAGGATGCTGCTCAAAAAAGCTAGAAGGCACTTTGACCCGTTTTCCCTCTCCTCCCAGCTTACCTGCGTGACTAAGGAGCCCCTGGAGAGCCACGGGTATAATGCTGTCAGCTGGCCAGGGGACCAAACGTGGATGCAATTTCTGGGGRTTCCTCCTATGCTACACGTCAGGAAGGAATATTCCCAACTGATATTTATTGCACCTTTTTTATATGTCATTTTGTTCCAAGCTCTGCCCTAGCTGTCAGAGCCACTGCTTCCTTTTTCTGTCCTTTCCACCTTTGCTTCTCTCTTCCTGATATTTGTCCCCTTCGTTCTTGCTCTCTCGCGCTTCTCCCACACAGCTGCTCTTTCCTCTTGCGCTCATTTACCCGCAGGGCTCGTCCCAGCTCCCAGCTCCACACAGCAGGACAGYGATTTGAGGGGAACCACAGAGCCCAGCCCACCAGGAGCTCCCCTCCCACTGGCAGGGCTGGGAACAGGGCGAAYTAAGGAGGAGAGGGCATCCTGTCCTCTTCTCTGTACAACAGAAAAGCCTGATCCCTACCCACAGCTATCACAGGATGGCACGCACTGTAATATGCAGCTCTTGGGCCAGGAGAAGCTGCACATCAGGGCCCAATCTTAGCCCCACGTTTACCACRCAGCCTGCAGCCATGTCGTTCCCGTTTCTGCCTCCCTTTCCTCTGCAGCAGAGCCACAGTAATGATATATCTCCAGCTCCTAGGCAGGAGCATTTTCAGGATCAATTACCCGGCGTTCATGCAAAGCTCTGTGGACAGCAGCCTCAATACAAGTAGTAAGTACTATTATTATTACTCTGCTTCAGATGGTTACAGCATTGGCATTTTCCAGGCATGCACCATTAACAATTTACTAAGATAAATGGCCCAGGAACCCGAAAATACATTTATGACAACTACCTCCTGCTTACCAGCACTCATTCAGCCAAACAAATGACACCCCATTGCTCAATGCACAGCTACAGCAACGCTTGCATCTCATATATTCCAGTGTGCACCCAAACACAGGCACACACACACAGAGCTGGAGGGAAGCCAAGATACCTCATTTAATGACATAGAAGCCAAGGAACTTTCCCAGCCTCCAAATCCTGCACTGGGAGCAAGGGAGCACGGAGCACACGAGGCGCCGTGTGCCATGCCAGGAGCAGCTGCATAAATCACAGGCTGGGAAGTGCACAACGAGGCCTTCAGAGAACTTACTTGAGAGCAGTTTTGTAGTGGTAGATAGCTTCAATGTTGCGTCCCTGGTCTTTCAGAAAATTGGCATAGTTGTAGTGCACCTTGGCGTTATGGGGTAGAGTCTTCACTCCTGAGCTGCAAATGGGAACAGAAGCAGGAACAGGTTAGCCAGCCGGGTTACCTCCTCTTCCCTGAGGTCTTTCTTCTGCTCGTCATTGCTCCCTCCGAAGAAAAATCCACTGCTCTTCAGCTGTGGTTCACTCACGCTAACAGAACTGATGTTACAAAGCCCAGCTTGCCCCACACTTGCCAAATGTGCAAACTAGTTACATGGCAAACCATGTGTTCCCAGTGGGACATACCCACATGGCAGCAGCTCCCCTCCRCTCTCACCATCACAGACACCTCAGCTCCATTCCTGTGGCCAGATGTGACCAGGGACATTTCAAAGTCTGGATGATTAAACCGCAAGGCCCTAAAAACCCTCATACCTAGAGGGCAAGTACGTAGTGCTTTCAAAAATGAAGTCAAAACAACCTCCCTCATCTCTGCCTCTGCTGAAACTGGAGCATCAGGAAGTTCTTCAGGAAAATCTGGGGGAGAAGGTATCTTTTCCACGTGCACCAGCCACCACAGGGGATGTGTGGCTTTCTCTGACTACAGAGCTAGCGCTTCTGCGCTGCACTGAGCAGAGTGCCCAGGAGGTGCGTTAGGGTCTCTTGTCCTAATTTACCCTAGGTTACAGGTCATATGCTCCCACATTATAAAATATTACTGTGCTCACGTAGCTATACAACTGCCCCATCCCTCCTCTTCCTCTTCTAGCCATGTAGATTGAGCTGGATGTTTGAAATTAATGAGGGCATAAAACCTTTTCTTTTTTCTTTTTTTTTAAAGGAAGAAGAAGAGCTAGCAAATGCTTGTTAATTTAGAGCACAGAAAGCAAGGCATGCCTTGCAAAGCTAGAGAAAATTCTGTTCTGCAGCTAGAGACAGAGGAAATACTCTCAGGAGCACATACACCATGGAAACATTTCCTCTGCAAGAACCCCAGGAGGCTGCTACTCCATTTAACGGGGGAATACTTTCCAGCATATAAACACGGTCTCTCCAAGGTAATAGGAAATATGTCTGGATGAACTTGTTCCTGTAAATCCATGGAGGAAGCACCATGGCTTGTTCCCAGGGAGCAGGCAGGTTGCTGCCAGCAGCTGCCTTCTTTCCTCCCACCATTTCCAAGCCCCTAATCTCAGGTAGGAACTGCAGGCACCAGGAAGTTCTCCGGTCTTTTTGCCTTGCCTTGTTTCCCTCTGCTAACCAAGAAAGTAACCAAGAAGAGAGAGGGTCACCCAGAGCCTCTACGGAGCAGCGCAGACCACGAAGGGGCTGGCGAGGGAGACGAGCATGGCCACGGCTGCTGAAAACCTTTTCCAGGGGATTTCCTTGGAAAAACAGAAAAGGGGGGTTGGGGAGAGAGTCTCAGCAGCACCACAGGCTCTGCCTATCTGCATCCAGCAGGATGGAGCGTGGCCAACATCTGCTTGCAGGAGGTGCCCAGGGCTGCCGCGCGAGCCCAGCACCACAGCCAGCGCCGGCCCACGCGAACCAAGGGCAGCCCTTGCATCTGCCTTCCCCATCACCAGGTATTTCTAAGTTGCTTACTGGGAGCGCTACAGGAGCAGGACATTTTGTGACTAATCGCTGAATTAAATCACTTAATTGATGCTATTCTTAAGAGAATGATTTTCTGTATTAGTTTTCACAGAGATATACGGCACCAGCAGCAAGTAATGTGTGACTGCTGTGGTTGTGTTAATTTCTACTGGCCTTGGGAGCTATTAACTGCACACTTACAACCTCTGGGCATTCCTGGAATATTAATTCTTGTACAGAAAGGCCTTCATATGACATCAGCGTGTTATAGGCCAAGACACAGGCTCAGGGCTGCTGCTATCTCAGAGCGATGTGCAACGAGCTCTTGGCTCTGTTACAGCCCCTGCTGAAACAGAGCAAACTGTGTTAATGGTGAGCAGCACGAGTATGTCAATCCCAATGAGACCCAGCTTTAACAGCAAGATGCATAATTTTAAACACTTTAATTTTTGACTGCACTCCTTTAAAGAGAAAATTAATCACACCAGTCCCATTTATTAAAAAAAATGCGCTAATAAAGCTTCTTATGCGTGCCTTTTTTGGCAGTGGGCAGCAGCACTGGAAAGACTGAAATTGGTTCAGTTTGGGGCTTTTAGGATGCTTTCTCTCTCCTACTCCCCTCCAGTCGCATTCCCTGACCTATTTATTCTTCTCATGGGGGATTTGTGTCTGCCTTTGCAAATACACACATTAATGCCTGATGTAAACTGCTTGGAGTATCTGCTCCAGCAGCTGTAACAGCACACACAGCACTGGATTTACAGGAGGGTTTAGGTAAACACTTCAGCTAATTGATTCTTGACCAGCTGAGAACACTGCTAGCTCATGGCCAGGGGAAGCAAAAATATCCATAACAAAAGCCAAGCGGGAAAGGGTGGAGTACAAATAACAATGCAAAGAACACAATGGCTTTCCATTCCCGCTTCCCGCAAGCCCCCAGCCTCTCCAAACTTCAATCTGTTTTTCCAACAGGCTTTTCCAAGCTCTCCTGCTTCCCCTCTCCCCAGCCTGGCCCACAGGCGTCCTTCCATCGGCCCACGGACCCGAGCACGTCACTTCCCAGGAGCATTTCCTTCCCTCCGGACTTCTGTGACAGCAGTAAGCGAGAGAAATGAAAAGTAAATGCCAAGCCTTTTACGTAACACTTCCTCTCCACGGGAAAGCACGAGCCTYGTAGTCATTATGCAGAGAAGTAAAGTACTCCTGGCATTCCAACCTCAAATGTCATCATTAGTCAGATCCCCCTGAAGATGGGAAATATCTCCAGCCATCCTCTCCGCTATGTCCCTWAGCGCCGGTTCGGCTCTGCGAAGGATTGGTGGAGGGCAGAGAGTTCAGTGATTTTTTGGTGATTTCCATATGAAAAAAAGCTCAGTTTACACGGAAATGAGGCCACTCCTGCCTCAATATGAGCCCTGGGAGACTGAGGAGATCTCCTCTGCTTTGGGAATCACTACTACCAATACAGGTTCTCTACAGCAAATTATTCTCTCAATGACACAAATAACTGCTTTCCTTGACCTCCTATCCTTATACTGACTTTCTGAGATATTAATGTCGGAACTTCCTAAACTATTCTATGAAAGATGCACAAAATGGAATAAGTCATGCTCTTCTCTGCTGAGCTGGCTCTCAGAATTAACAAGGGAACATGGAAAGTAGGTGCCATCTTTGCGGATATTTCTTTTTCCTTTTTTTTGGGGGGGGGGGGAAATTACTGAAGTCTGCAGCATGGCTTGGGAAGGAAGCCTGCAAAGAAAGTGCCATAACTGCCCAGTTCCTTTGCAGGTTACATCTCTACTTTCAGATACAGTCCCAAATGTGGGCTGTACTCGGACATCCTGCTGGAGCAGTGCAAACGTGGGAGCTCCACAACTCTTGGGAAGCCAGGACATCGGATGCAGTGGTGAGCCCACAGCCCTCTCTCCGGTTCCCCTGCTCGAGCTCCTGCCTTGAGACTTTAGCACTGACCATGGCTGAGGCCTGACCTCTTGGCCTGCTAATTTGCTGTGCAGGACAATCCTCAAATACTCAACAACAAACTCCCCTTGCTCACCTGCCAGCACAGGGCCACAAACAACATGGGACTTCGGCAGGTCTATTGAAATAATATGCCTCAAATACCTGTCTCTCTCTGTATATTCGGCCACTTATTTATYACACTCATGGCTCATGAGCTTGCCACTTAGCCCACACACGCACGTTTGCCTCCATACACCGTCCCCTCGAGCAGCATCAGCCTCCTGAATCCCCTCCTTCAGCAGGGTCCTGGAGGCATCTCCACATCCTTCCCTCCTGCCCTTCGTGCTGGAGGGAGCAGGAAGCAGGCAGGGCAAGAGCAGCTGCGAGACAAGCCCCAAAGGCAGCGTGAAGCAGGGAACCGGCAACGCGTGGGATATGGGAACGCCTCCCGGAGAAACCCTGCGTGGCAGGACGGGTCTCAGCCACGGGCAAGGGACTCTGCAGAGACCAGCACTGAAAATATATAGCCAAGGAAGTCCAGGAATGAAATGGACTTGGTACAGAAACCAACTGAGAGCGGGAGAAAAAAAGCATTAGTTAATTAAAACAGCAACCGGGGACAGAAAGAATAAAGAACTAAGATTTTCCCAGTATGCACGTTTTTATAAAAAGAGAAGTCAACACATGGAGACTACCAAGTAGGCTGATTTATGTCTGCTTTCCCCCTTACAGATTTTTTTCTGAGTTTCCTTATTATTTCCTCCCCTCTTTCTTTGCCGTTCCTTATCTCCTCCTCCTGCTCTGCCCCTTCTAGTTTATTGCTCCCCCATCCACTTCTCCCTGCTTCCCTCCTCTCCACAGCATCCTATGTAGATCCTCCTACTCCCACCCAGAGAGGATATCTCCCACTCCTGGAACAGCATCATCTTCTTGCTCTACCAGCCTCCTTTTGCCTTTCCCTACCACCACCAAGAACAGCCCTACCATCCTAGGGATTCCTACTGGATGCATCCTGCCCACCAAATAAAGTTTCAGAAGGACAGCAAGAAGGACAATGTGTTTTAAAAGTGTAGTAAAGAAGGGGAAGGGAAATGAAGAACACTGTTTAAAAAGTGAAAGTCAGAGCTGAAGAAGGAAAGCAGAAAAGAACATAAACTTTGGCAAGTTAAACATAAACCTTGATTAGGCAGAGCAAAGGAGATTTGAGGAACGACTTGCTGAAGACAAAGCTAATAACACAATACATCAGCTACAGGAAACCTGCCAAAGATCCCCTAAGGCCAATAAATGAAGGAGGTCTAAGAGAAGTGCTTAAAGAGGAGAAGGTCACAGCAGAAAAGCTAAATTATGTGTTAGACTATGTGTACCAGAGGGGTGCTCGCTGCACAAGAACTGAAGGATGTACCCGCACTGGAGCCTCTCTTTCCAGGGACCAGTCCCAAGCACTGTCCCAAGCTGAAGTGTCAGTAAAGGAGGCTTTAAAACAAATCAACACCCAGAAGAGCTGCATTCCTTTTCCTCCAGGAAATCAGGGGCAAAAGGTTCCTGATGATGTTGCCATGAACCACACTGCCAAGACCAAAGCTAAGAGCAGAGACTCGCAAAAGGATTTCAGGGTGCTGAAGGCCAGCCAACGAGCGGGCAGAGGAAATTCAGCTCTGATACATCTGATCCAAATCTGCACAGGGGTTGATGTCTGTAAATCAGACATTCCCACTGAAGAAAAGCATATTGGAATTGTTGTGGATAGGGCTGTGAAAACATTGCTCGGTGCTCGCAGTGGTCAGAATAGGCAAGGGAGATTCAGAATTACTAGGAAGAAAGCAGAAGACAAAACAGACAACACTTTTCTGCAGAAATCTCTTGAAATGTGCATGTGATTCTGGTGCCCTTTACCAAAAGGGCAGATTAAAGTTTGACAGGATACAGACAACAGCAACAAAAAGGACCACAAATGCAAAACAGCTTCTGTATGAGGAGAGTTTAAATTTAGGGATTTAAACTGATGGAGAAGGGGCAGTCTCAGGCAAGGGCACGAGGGACAGCCTGGAGGAGCCTGGAGTGTAAAAGCCCAACAGGTAGAGGAAATGTGACAAATTGATGGTCATTCCCTGGCCATTCAAACCACCCATGGGAAAGGCAAATCCCCGAAGCAGGGGATGCCAAACAAGCTCACAAGGCAGAGGGCTCACGACATGGAAAGGGAAGTCTTATTTTGCCTGCTGTATAATTTAATGATGGAACGCAGAGTACAGGATGCCAGAACTATAAATGGACTGAAAAACGTAGTCAGAGTTAGCAGTGGAGGAAAAGTCCACCAGTGGTTGACAGACACATGCAAAATAAATAAATAAATAGCAAGTAAATCCAGATTAAGCTGCAGATTAAAGGACAGGAGGGTCACATCACTAAGGCTTCGCTCGCCTGGGCTCATGTTCGTCTGCTTTGCATGTGTCCAACCAACAGGGAATGGAGGCGGGATGGAAACAAGCGCAGTCACATCCAGCTACAGTGACTTTTTGTCCCGTGCCAGGCCCTGCTGCACCCGCTGTCACCCCAGGAGTGCTCCTCAGCAGCAGCGCTGGCCCTGGCCCTCCTTCCATCTGTCCCAGTTTAACTTCATCTTCAAAGCGGGAGACCAGAGCCTCATGTAATACCAGGGGATGCTGCACCGGGCATATGGAATTGCCATCTTCCCACCCCGCTTCCTAAAGAGCTTCCCAGCTTGGAAGGCCACCCTGCTTTCTCCTGAATGGCTTCTTTCTAGCTCCTTTCTTCAAAGGGGGCGCGGGGCAAGCCAAGAGCAGTCCCCATGGCTGCCACGGGCTAAAGAGTAAACACYGCTTCAGGGGGGACGGGCAATGAATCACGTCAGATGTAAGAGATCCTTATTCCGGGTTTTCCAAACAAATCCCACTACCAGAGCTCTGAATACTTCAACAGCATGTCCCAAAGACTGAAGGGTGGCTATAAAAAGTCATTTCATAGTCTTTAGTGCCAAGTAAATTAAACTTTGCTCTGGCCAATAACTTAGAAAATAAGAGCTAAGCAACCAGTGTGCAATCACCTGTGTTGCTACGATTACTCCACAATTAGACAACTGCTGAAAACAGCTGGAGGCAAATGCAAAGCACTTGCTRGCAAAACAGAAAATGAAACGATCTGTTTCAATGCAAAAATATATAAATGTGCTTGTAAAGAGAGCTGCTTGGCAAAGAGTAATCAGATAAAATGAAATATGGCACATTAAGTTTGGCACCTCATGGCATTTCATTTTTCTCATTAAGAATATCGCTAAGGAAAATTCAATATACTCCATGGTGTTGCTATAGTGTTCTGCAGGGTTGCAATGAAGCTCTGCTGTGCCTTTAATACGGGGAAAGTGTTACATTATTGGTGAATTGACAGAGCTGAAGTTATTTGAAAACAGAGTGTCTTAAAAATACTATTGCCAGAATCAAAGCACATAAAGTGCTACACCACGTTTGGCACAACTGCTTCAGAAAACAGAGAGTGTTATTTTATAATAATCAAAACACTAATCACAACAGTGTATTAATAGCAGGATTACTCCTATTGCTAAAGGAAACTATTTGTTCTGTGTGACAAACTAGTATAGCTTATTTTAAACAACAGAAAAATGCCACCGTGGTCACTCATACCTGAAGAGGGATTCTCTCGACAACCAGATTTCATTCTGTTTCACCGTCTTGCAGGAGAACAGCAGCAGCAGCAAAGCAAAGAGAGTCGGAAGAGTAATTCTCCATTTATCCAACCACGTAGAGAGTTTTCTTAGGCCATGGACGAAAAGAATGCAATATCCCATACTGGAGGGGAATTAAAAAAAAAAAAAAAAGAAACGGTACAAAAAGCTGTTCTGGTTATTCTGGACAAATTCAGTTTTGTATTTATTTTGCAATTACATTTTGGGGAGACTAATTATATATTTTCCGGGATAACAAGCTCACAGCATTTTTCTTCAAGTCACTCCACAATTTCCAAATTAACCTAAATGATATACCCAGATGCCAAAAAGTACAGAGGCGCACATACCACCACGCAGTATAATGGCAGCCTACACCCTGCTCCGTGGAAGGCAGCTGCCTTTCCAGCAGAAAGCTAAGAAAGCAGAATGCAAAAGCAGTAATATCCAGCGGGGCTAAAGCAGCACATGCTGAAGAGCAGGGGAGCGCAACGCTCGGGAAGCTGAGCGGGGAACATCCCGCTTCCATAGAATCACAGAATGGTTGAGGTTGGAAGGGACCTCTAGGGATCATCCAGTCTAACCTTCCTGCTCCAGCAGGGACACCCAGAGCAYGGGGCACAGGGCGGCATCCAGGCGGGTTTGGAAGATCTCCAGAGGAGACTCCACAACCTCCCTGGGGAGACTGTTCCAGGGCTCTGTCACCCTCTCTGTCAAGGAATTTTTCCTTAAGTTCCTGTGGGACATTCGGTGCTTCGGTTTGTGGCCATTTCCACCATGCGGAGCTTTCGGGATGGCGGAGGGGGCAGCGCGGCGCCATCGCCGCCCGCCTCGCACTGGCGCCGCGTGGGCTCCTCCACACGCGTGGCCAGGCCCACAGCGTTGAACGGCGCTGACAGCTGCAAAACGGGAGGGAAAGGGGAGATATTTCAGCTCCATCTTCGCCCTGACTGCTGTGTAGGCCCAGGACAACCCTCAGGTTGACGACATCCACCTGAAGTTACTTAGCACCTGGCGTGGTTTTGGACTTGTAGCCTAGGCCAGGCGGCCACCACTGGAGGAAGAGGGGCAGAAAGTTCTGGAATACGTTAGGGACTATCAATAYGCTGAGGGAAAAAAGAGAAGGGAGGCGGTTCCCAGACACTGCCTCGTCTTCTSTTCCCACTGGCACCATCCGAGGGGCCTGCGCTGCCCGTGCCCTGGCCAAAGGCCCTTTCGTTTTTGTGCCCGGAGATCCAAGGGTGCCCTCCATGAACACGGAGGAGAGACGCCTTAACCCCTGCTTTGACCAGTGCCTCTTCTGCCCACATAGGACTCTAGGGAGGTATAGGCAGAGGGGACAATCTGGGGAAAACATCACTTCCATGGCTCATTCAAAGCTTTTCCAGTATCGTTTGGAGGCTCCCCCCGTTTTTCAGAACTCACATAGTTTTGTTTTGCGTTGTTTTCCACAAATTCTTTTGCACACATGTTTATCGCACCTACATTAATTGCAAGCAGGCATTTGGAGCTGCTAACTGAGATGCTGGTGCCAAACAATCCACCCTTTATAGCTATTGAACTCTGCTTTAAAATCTCTGTAAAGCTAATCTTGGTAATAAGCACTCCCTTTCCAATAAGAAATGCCTCAAAAAAACCTGCAGACTGTTTTCACTCTGTTATTTTGCCTTTCAGCAATTTAATCCTTCCCTTGGAATTAATTACCTGACATAAACATTATTTGATGGCTTTAACACAAAGTTTTCAAAGGAAGTCGCCCACACCTTCCGTTTTYAAGGATGGGGCCTTTTCAAACAGAACCATGGATGATGCCCAGAAAACAAAAAAATGCAAACGTCAATGTCTTGGTATTTACACCRAATGCTGCCCCGGCTGTGGCGAATTTCTGCCTTAGCAGAAAGCTCCATGTGCTTGTCCCGGCACAGCCAGCACTGCATTACAGCTTATCCGGCCATTGCAAAAGCCTAAGATTAAGGAGTAATGCTAAAAGGACCGAGCTAAAGCACAGCTTACACTTCAGTAAGTTTTGCTGGAGGCAAATGGGACAAAATGAGGACGGAGCTGTAGGTGCTCATCACTTACAAGCTAAATAGGATAGAGATAAGTGTACCTATGCTATGAAGTGCACAGAAAGAAAAGGAAGAAGAAAAGGATCAGAAAATGGAAGGCAGGTAAACACTTCTATTTTCAGATAGAGCCTAGGTTTGTCTTATAACATGAGACAATAATTTCCTGTCATTGATGATGAAAAAGGAAGGGAAGGACAAGGCTGCATTATCTTGCAAGGGACATGTCAGCAGAGGTGTCAGGTACAGCTGCATCCCTTTGCAAGGCTTCTTTTGCAACAGGGATATTTAAACCCTATCACTGGCTGAGGTGAAGGAGCAACATTCCTGTCTGCAAGACTTTTCCAGACCAAGGACTCCTGATTCACTCAACACACTCCCGTGTCCCTGGCTGCCAGGAAAGTGGGTGCATGTGCATGATTTCTGTGTCCCAGACTCCCTGCAGCTCCCCTAGACTTACTGCAGTGTAAGATTCATTTCTATTTTGGGGTTAAACAATTATGATGGAGTCAGGCAAACGGGCACTAAACAGAATAAAACACAGAAACAATCATACCAAAGGGCTGTGCATCCATCAAAAAAAGCTACTGCTCTTGTTTCATATTCCYCTAATTCCATACTCCCTCATACCCTACAACCCACTTGCTTCGCACTAGACTAAATGCTCCTGATAGCGGAATTAACTTCAATATTGAAACCATACAATTTTGAAACAATAAAGCACCAAACTTGTTATAATGGAGTCACTGCAATGGAAATCTGTCCCGACATTCACTTGACCTGGACAGATAGGGATTAGAAATCCCACGAACAATGTAGGTAGGAATTCTGTCACRGAGGGAAGGGAAAGGGAAAAAGAGAGCCTGCAAATTTTACCTGCTTTCTTACAGAAAAGAGGCTGATGACACCCTGCTGTGTCTGGATTTGYCCATCTACATATTCAATCCCAGTAAGTTTCCAGCACTTTTGTCGGGGGGGGAGGGGGGAGCCTTCCAGATAATGAAATTCCCACGCCATCCCAGCAGTAAATTGGGAGACAGCAGAGCACCCCACCAGGGTTGCACTAAGGGATGACCAGGGTGGACATCCCATCTCTCCACCCAGGTGACTGCCACTTCCATTGGGGAGTCCCAGCAAATGGCAAGGAAAATGTCAGTAAGAATTTCTACCATCACAGACATTTCAGTACTCAACCAGAAGAAATAAATTCTCTGTATTTCACTTGTTCCGGAACTCAAAGAAGTTGAAATACAGGGAGCTGTTTGAAGCTTCCCTGAGTTTTGGCAAGTTGGTAGCAGTCCAGGCACAACTGAGTTGACAGGACAAGTACAGGTGAGACTGCACTTACAGTAACTTTGCAAGTGTCTAAAGAAACTTACTATGTGGTTAGCTCTGCCATAGCCGTGTCATAACCTACAAACACACAGAAGAGCGTTTCAAATATGTTGACCCTTCTTCTGCACATGCTGGGGGACTCCATTCTGTACTAAACCTCAGAGCTGGCTTGTGAGGAGATCAGTTTTCATATGCATTTAAGACAAAATAGAAATCACTCAAAAGCATCTTTCATCAAAGAGACAGTTTCCCCCTGAAAGATTTACTCTACRAACTCCATCCTGGACATCTTTGTGTCCAGATGCCCCAGCCTGTGCCCCTATGGCTGTAGGCTTGTGGGTTGGATTGACTTGGACTCTTGCTTGGGACGGGAGCAGGTCGTCTCTCTTGGGAGGCTTTTGTGCAGACCACTATAATGCCGTGCAAAGTACAGACTTTTCTAAAACACTGCACAGCCAAAATGGAAAACAAGCAAAATCCCCAGCCCGCTACTACTTCTCTTTTCTTTGAAATCCATTTTCTACTAAATTACTGTAAAACTGCTAGCTGTTTTTTTTTCTTTTGTGGAATAAGCAGTAGCTTGCTGCAGCCACTGTTTCCCACTGTGAAAAATCCGTGGCCATTTGGCCCCAGGATCAAATGTGAAGCAGGACCGGAGGACCAGGTAGAGGGGTTAACATGTTAACAGCTTTTGGCTCACAATGAGATCGCTCCTTAGCCGCAGCACCAGTGTTGGCAGGAATTCAATGACCCTGCAGGAGGGCTCACACAAAAGCTTCCTGCTTGGCACACGGACCAACAGGCCGATACTTTCATGATTTCTTGGGTTTTTGACTCCTACTGTACTAAAGTGGTACCTTAGGAACGTCCTGAATTACAATGAAGGCAGAGATGGTGCTCRGTAGGCAAACTCTGCGCCCCACATACAAATATTTCTGGCAGAGCGCATGCCCCCAGAGCTGATGAATTTTCATCTATAATTTCTGCAATTTGTTAATATAATTCCATCTGCAAGCAAGAAACTGGGGGAGGCACAAGCAGATGGGAACGAGGTGGCACCAAGACCCCATTTCCCATGGAGTACTATGCATTAAAACAAGACTCTCAAAACAAAGGCCAGGCAGCAGATATATTTGCAAATAGTGCTTCAAGTCATTAGACCACAAATTCAGCCTTGTCTTTGGCCATTACTCCTCCTTTCCGAAGCCAAAGATGCTACTGATGCTTAAACAAGCTTCCTCCCTCCCTGTTTGGACCAGGTTTCTCATTTTTCATCGAAAGACAAAAGAGGCTCTCCTGCATTTGGTGACGGAGTCTCATCTGAGACATGCCGTGGTTAGTGCTGCAACCCAAGACCATCAGGATGTTCTGATACAGCAACCTGCCTATACCCCAAACCATTCTACCTCCTCAGAAAGGGCTTAGAGATCTACTGCTGAAGAAGCCTCCTGGAAACTGAAGTGCTTTAGTCACACATTCGACTGCATTTTGCAGCTTTGGACTTTGCAAACTCCTGCTCCCTTCCACTGAAAAGTGTGTGGGCAGAGCAGAGGAAGAGCTTTAATTTGGAGGGGATGCTCACAGGCACTTCCTAGCACCCACACTGCTCTGCAGCAACGGCCCTGCTCAATTGCACAGCAGCACCAACTATTCCTTATCAACTCAGGTGAGGCTGCAAACTAAGGAGTTAAAGAGAGTGATAGAAACTCCACATAAAAGCTGC